GGACATGTCAATACAACTACCTTCATTGAACCCGTTGGCATAACGCCCTGACAATTGGTATTTTTAAGAGAGGCCATTAATCAAAGAAGAAGAAGAAGACAATTGGTATTTATTATTAAATAATATACAATGTTTTTTCTACAAAGATACAATGTAGTTTTAATCAGACAAAAATAGTTGTATACCGATCATCTTTCGATTAAATTTTTACTTTCGATGAAACTTTTTTCACGCGAGTGATTATATTTATATTTTAGATTTCATTACATACTATAAAAACATTTTTATAACATCATACTCTAGTAGGGCGTTCGAATTGGTACGAATAACGATTCCTGAAAAAAGAACATGATTTCAATTATCTTTGAATTTCGCTGCGTTACTTACTCAGCACTATTTATTGCCTTCGCAAGACGCAAGTTCATAAGAATGGCAACATCCGCCGCCGAGGTACATCCGGAAAGGTGGCAACCCAGATAAAAGGCCGGCCATAATTCGTCATATTATTCATAAACAAAAATCAGTGCAAGAGCGGCAGATGCGAAAGGATTGCACACATATGTCCGACAAGGTGCGTTCGTCCTCACGTCATAGGCCAGTGGCATGTGCCGAGCGCCGCTTTAAATAGCTCAAAGTTTTCTTCGTACCTTTTTTCAATATTATACGGATAAAATTAGTCTATGGTTTGACAAAGATTTTAATATATAAATTGCATATGAGCAAACAGACACCTAAAGCAATTAGCTGATGATGAAACAATTAATATCCTAAAACCGAGAACCGACTAACCATATTAAAATCGAGAACTTATCAGCAACGCTAGCCGTATCGTCGAGCTAAGATTCCATGCCGGTGCCCCGTTTGGGCTGGAAGGAATTTCATGTCGCAATTAGCATTTATATTTAAAAACATTGTAAGATATACCTTATGAATAATTGTCATCGATAATTGCACGTTTATCAGCGACAGCGCGGTTACGTTTAGGACCCACGGGGAAACTCTCCGCGGTCCCTTTCAAAACAAGCCCCGGTACCAGTCCAGTAATTAAACTTACAACTTTATCGATCAAATACTTATCCAACGCAGGACGGACCACCAGGCAACATTCTGCTCGGGTTGTACGAACTTTACATAAATATTGCCCACATATTCGTAAGCTAATGAAACTGTCAGGGCAGTACTAGGTCCCTTCGTTCGACCGAATGAGTCTATTAAGTACGGGGTGTACGAATTTGCATATAACTAATAAATATGCAAAATTAAAACTTGAAAATCACTCGCACTATTTGTATCGGCTCTTGAAAAGAAAGATTTGTTTAAGTGTATAATTACATTGGTTATATAGAAACTGTAAATTTATTAAAACTTTAATTGTAAACAAAAAAATTGCTTTGATGTACCTAAATTGATATTAGCGAGTAAATTTTGGGTATATTCCGAAGTTTAATGAATCTTGATATTAATCGAAAACAGTTATCTGTTGTTAACAACCTGAACCCAGTTTTACTTGCAAGTGATAATGTAAGAAGTAATGGATAGTCTACATAACAGTAGTTAAGACATACTGCACATCGGCTAAAAGTTATAACGTCGATACTTTGAGAATTCCTTGAGCTATATAATTTTAGAGACGACAATGGATCAACGAAGGTTGTAATTATCGTTCATAGTTCCTCGAGCCCCTCATATGGCTTTGTGCCAGGCGGACATCTCTATTTGCGATTTTCTAAGGTGTGGGCTGGCTAAATGTTATTTGACGATCGCTTTGTGAGCACTCCCGTCGAGCCATTGTGCACGCACTTTATGCTTCCTTGTATCACTCCCACAATTTTTATTATGCTCTTCGATTCACTTGCATGGAGAATATCCGAGCTAAGATGATGGATCGCTTCCATTTTATTTTCGCCATTCGGCTTATTGTCATTTTGTGTTGGGAAGTTATAGGGCTCTTGGGAGATATTAGTTACTAGGGAATGCTTTCTGACTACATCTGTATGACTTAAAAGTCCAATCCATTGGAAAAAAAAAACAAAACAATCAAAAGGCGATTTGGGTCGATCTGTGTTGAAAGAAATTAAAAATACGCAGCCTACGCTACCATGTAATTCAGTTATACAAGTTAATTAGTTTTGACCATTGTTTACCACGCAAGTGGCTATTGTTGTTTGGAAAATTTACTTTAACATGGAATGGTCGTGAGTCGTGGGCCAGGTAAGAAATAATCAATGGTTTTGAAATTAAAAACGAACGACTCCGCAAAGGCGACACGAAGTCTATTAAAATCAAGTTTAGCGCCTCCTTCAATGGGAATGATTGAAGGCTCCTAAACAATTCATTCTTTGCACTCACTGAATGGCGTGGCCCACATTCCCTGTGCAATCTTTTTACGGCATAATGGATGTGACAATGGCAGGGCCCCTTCGCCATTCAGTACTGTGTAAAATACTGACGCTCGAAGCTCTAAATTAATGTAAACTTTTTTCAGAAATTCACTGAAGGCGATGCCGCCTAGTGCGCAAGTCGCATTTTAAACCGGTAAGTAATTGTCAAATAAGGCAAAGTAAACTTTAAAGACTTAAGTTTAGAGTATCTGTTCGTTGGCATCACATTCATTTACTACTTATTTCTACTTGTTTCGATTCTTATTGTTGCTTGAAACACAATAAAACATTGCTTAAATTCTTTTAATTTTATGTAACCGTAATAAATTAACCACGGTCCATTATACTCTCATATTGGATATTCATTTACAGGTTAAGTTGGATTTTGTAATATTTCTTTTTTTTACAATATATTATCGTGCGATACAAATTCCAGGTTTTTTAGCCCCCTCTCATGGAGCACCTCCTCTTTCCTCAAGCTGAGGCACACTGGGAAATTCAGCGCGCCTTCCTACACGGCCCCTTTTTCACGGCCAAAGATCTCCCCCGAGTTCGCTGACCGGAGGTCATGGGAGCCTGGAGAGCCAGTGGTCCTGGTCTCTGGCTCTGCCGCTCACCACGTTTCGGCCTCTTCCTCTGCGACTCTACCTCGGTAGTAAGGGACAGGAAGAGCGGGTACATCTCTACTACCGTCAACCTGTCTCCCGCACCCTTCTTGCTCGCATTCATGGAGCGGCTCTCTCGGGCCGGCCTTACGCCACAGACCGACCCAGTGTGGGTTCCTCTTGGCTTCGCAGTTGGTGACCAAGCCACGGCTACTAAGGCCGGCTAAATAATTACGTATTATATAATATTTTTTTAATACGTCTGATCGCCCGCTACCAATTTATTAAACCACCAAGTGTAGAGAGCACTTGGTAATTTAATATGAGCTTAGCATGATAAAAATTTTATGTAATAATATAAAAATATGTAAAAATTTTGTATATACATACATAATTATTATGAAGTTATATTTATGTATATGTACGTTGGAGGTTGTAAGACTTGGGTTCGATTCCCGCAGCGATAAAAACTTTTCGCCCTTTTTCTAATATTCTACGTTAAGTGCAGATTTTATCACGATAAAAATTTAAATGTCATATTTTTAGTAATTTCAATTAAATAATGTAAGTGGATTCAGGTACCGTTTTAGTAAAACAATTTAATAAACTGGCAGTGTTAAAAAATGGCAAATTTTCGTACATCTGGTCCCTCAAATGACTCAGTAATAGATCGTACGAGACTTTGTTTTCGATATTTGTGGCGCAGAGTCGTGTTATTTTTCTATTCCGTGGTTTATAGCATTAACAATGGCTTTCATGTGAGACTGACTCAATTTCAATAATCGCACCGTGCGTGGAATAACTTTTTCTTTTGTGTGACCACAGAACGAATTTGATTTTAATTGTCGGAAAGTCTTAATTATTGTCTACGCTTTCAGATGACATTACATTTTTTCGTCTGACTTATATATATTGAGATTCTGAATAGAACAACGTTCTATCTGATTTGTGCTCCGCGGTACAAGGACATATGTAAGTTTAGACATTGTTTTGTACTGACTAGACCAAGCTTACTAATCTAATAGACGAGTGTAAAATACTCTATTAGAGTCAATTGATAATTATTGCACAGTCACCCAATTTTTATGGTTTTTTCGTTGAAAAAAGTGCTACATGCGTTTATGTCATACATATTTTCTGAGTTTTTAGTAGAACAACGTCATATATGAATTTATTATTTTTTGGAATGTTATTTATATAAACGTGTATATATGAACTTGTGACCCATCAGTTATTGCCATTTTCCGTAGGAAAACGTCCCTATTACACATGAATTATTCCTTATCTTATTTCCTAAATTTATATTATTATTAATTCAAAAAGTATACTGTTTGTTATTATAACTAATTATATAACAAACCTCAATCGGCCGTCCTGAACAATTACAATTTTGCAGTTGTCAAGTTGTTCTACGCAGGGTGCAAATTACGTTTTGAACTTTTTAATACGTATAAAATTATTACGAAGCTTAGTAAGCGATATGGTAATAGATTGATAGTATATATTTTTATTATTTGGTGGCGTTGGGCTGATTTGCATCAAGACTTCGATGAAAGTGTTTAAGTGTTTAATTAAATAATGTTTTTTTACCGCATATTTATAAAAAAATGAACTATACATTTTGTCCTAGACGAATAAATACGAATCCAGCCTCTATCCATTTTCAGCTTGATAATATTGTTATACTGAATGAATGTGTAGAAATTTTTAAACTTTAAAAGTTTTATAAGCGCGTTATAAATATGTTGGTCAATTAATGGTCAAAATAAATTCGACGGCACGTGTACGAAAAGGGTCTCTAGCCCACATTTTGAAGTGTTCCAGGTACAAATAAAAAAAAGGAATACAATCTCAACGTAGGGGTGGGAGAAATCCCTATTCATTTTTTCAAGCATCGCACCGCCATATAACCCGGCGCCGGGGCCAAATGCCTTCATTCATTACCTCGCAGGAACCGTGAAAGCTCCGTAAGCTCCTTCGTGACGCGTCAAAGCTGGAGTAAGTTCAAACTCAAATGCTCGGAGCACAAAATAGGGCTGTCGACTGCGAAATGGATTACGCGACGTACGCTAAGAATGATTTTCTCAAACTGGTGCCGATCGCACCGGCACCAGGGCGGAAATACGTGTCCGGCTTAGAAGAGGTCGATGCGTACGCGAGGTACAATTACAAAGGCGCCGGCGTAGGCGCTCAAGCGGCATCGATCGCGAGGAGGAACGCGCGCGAGAGGAACCGCGTGAAACAAGTGAATGATGGATTCAACGCATTAAGGAAGCGGTTGCCGGCTGCGGTAGTGGCGGCCCTATCGGGCGGCGCGCGCAGGGGCTCCGGCAAAAAGCTCAGTAAAGTGGACACGCTGAGGATGGTCGTCGAATACATAAAGTATCTGCAGGGTCTGATCGACGACGGCGACGCGGCGTCGGTCGTTGACACCGCGAAATCTCCGCCTGCCTATGAGGATGAGGGTGTAGTCGGGGATAGCTCACCGTACTCGGAGTCCGTTCCATCGCCGGTGACTTCTGAATGCTCGTCTGGTGTATCCTCGGAATACTCACCCGGCGATTGTTACACGAGTTGTTGCATAAATGAAGACCTAATTTACCCCAGCGAAGAGCTTGCTACTCGAATGGATGACACAGAGCTGCTCGATGCGATTGCTTGGTGGCAGCAGAAATAAATCTAGGGAGTTATGTAAACTTTTGGTGTCTAGTCAAATAATCGAGATACGACGTAGTTGTTAAGAATGCTTAAATATTGTAAATATACTACGAGATTAATATATTTTGAGATGACAAATGTGTTATTTAAGAAAGTTGCAAATATACATCATACAAAAAATTATTTTTTTATAATTTGATTCCTGCCCTCTTAAAGCAGATACCCCTTCAAATGATTTAAGATGTGATAAGATTGTTTAAAAAGTCAATACTGCCTAAGCATACTTTGTTTAAGTTATTTCATCACTGTGATATTTTCATAAGTGTAAATATTATAATAAATGTAAAAAATATGAAAATTAAAAAGATTTATATGTTATATCATAGACTTGCGTTTTCAAAATCAAATCAATTTTAAACTCTAAATACGATTTTAAATTGGAAATAGAAGTATTCTATGTAGCTACTAATAAACAATTTGAAAAAAAAAATTAAACATTTAATCATAAGAAATTATTTCCAAAGTAATAATGTTTGTATGTGTAAGAGTACTTTCAATGCACCAATTCCCCAACAGCATCTCATAATCGTATGTGAATATATGTACGCATAATTACTAGATGCAGAAGATGAGTGAGCACTTCATCATTTTAATCAGGGAAAATAAAACGAATAACCGAAATATATGTGAATGGAAACAATGCAACTGCCAAGGGATAGAGACGGCAGATGTGTATTAAATGAAAATACGACTAAGGGACTAAATAAGAGATCAACGTGTCTGAAATCTCGTAGAACATAACGTATAGGCGCAGCTTTTGATATCTGTAGATATCTTAATTAAGCTCTGCCGGGGTAACACTTACTGCCCCTGATTAAGGCCGAGATCGATCTTTTAGACCTTATGGAATGTACGGATATCTCTCGGAGCAGCGCTATCTGTATTATGCTAAAAATACTGCTAAAATTATACACGGGGGCTTGATTAAGCCATCGATGCACGGTCACAGTGCCGGGACATTGTTATACAAGATTAATGGTGTTCGCCGAGATAAGGGGGTGGGAGCTAAATGCATTTACATGTGCGAATAAAGCGACACTGATAAAGGGACAAAGAAGTTCGCAACGAATAGGAATTGTGGATAACGTTTATTTTCTTTCGATCTCTGCTGCATTACAGCGACGAATACGCTCCAAACGTGACTCTGATTCTACAAAACTTCATGCGTCATTTTATGGTTAAGTTTGTTAAGAACCTTGTGAGCTTTTTCCATTTTTATGATGGTAATTGTATTCGAACACCACATTTAAATTTATTTAAATGAATATTAAATCCACTGTCAAATTATTTTCTAACAGTTTCCGGTGAATTGGTGATTCTTAAAATTTTGATGGATAATTATTTTAAATGAAAATGTAATGAATATACGTTTATTACGAATATACGTTTGTTTCTCAGCAACCATTGGAATGATAGCTAAAATTATAGAGAGGAACAAAATGACGGATGCATCAGCACGTGAAAATCTCTCGTGAAAAGTGATTACAGTTGGTTTGCTTATAAAATTTGCGCATACTTGCGTCTTGCAATGATAGATTTTGGTACAAATTGAATACAAAATAGTAAATACGACTTGGACATTAAAAACAAAATTTGCATTAGCTTTCGATTACGATTACCCGTTTATACCGTATCCGACTTATGCGTATTACTTTACATAGCCGACATCGATAGTGGATGTAGACGTGCTTAATTAACTTAGATACATAACTGGAGTGCTTAGATGACTGCTGAATCGCGAGATCGTGGCCGTGTACGCCGCGCGGGAGATTAGTTTTTGCGACTCCGTGTTCGTCTTGTACCATTCCCGCCCGAATGTTTCCTGTTTTGTGTCGATTGCGGCCGAAAAAATTCACGCACCGATCGGCCGAGATCATTCCGGCGAATTCCGGAAACGCGTAACGATTTCGCCCCGAAACCGCTTTGTGTCGGTAATCTTATTACGCGGCGCACGTGAGCTTTGTTGCGTTCGTGCTTTTTGCGTAAAGTCAACGATGAGCGCCTCGCGAATGGATTACGCGTTGCATTCAATTTAAATTTAATGCTGCTGTTGGTTTTTTCGATGTTGCGGCGAAAAGGCGTCGCGACGTCGAAAGGTTGCCGTTTTAGCCAATTCATAAAAAATATATCAAATCAATTGTACATTTTCGGTGACACGTTCCGCACTGTTGATGGTAAATAATACATAAATTGTTTACTTATATTTGTTTAATACAAAACAACCTGTAGGAATATGTGTATTGTTTATGGTAAATAGTTTGAATACATATATTATACTAGTTTTTAGATAGTTATTGGCGTTTATTTTACCAGCTTAAAAAGTATTGTTAACTGCTAAGGTTTAATGTATTATAATAACAAACAATTACGAAAGAAACAATTTTCGCTTGATGCTTTATTTATGAGACCATAGACGCATTCTTCAATATTTATTTAATCTATGATCTTTAAGGATTGGTTTAAAAGATTACATCTGTTTAAATCCCTCGTTGTTCTGTTGCTGCTATTGTTTGCTGATTCCACTCGAAGCATCGCTCAATTGGGTATAATGCGATCGTCAATGTTTTCTTCGTTTCTTTTACGCCTTCAATAGATTCGTTGATTTATTCTAACAATTAGACTTTCGCTTTCGCCCGACCCTCTTTTAATTACTTTCTTTTATCGCGTTGAATTGCAACAGCCGTAGATTAATTTAAAATCGTTCGGTCATGACATATTGTCGGACCGAGGAAGTTTTTATACTCAAAATATCTCCCGAATGGTATATCACGGTGGTTTCTTTAAATATGTGTGTAATTAGACGATGGCATGGGACGACGCTGTCGCTTATGCTAATGTTTTATGGTCGCTTTATGTCGTCGCCGCGACAAGAGACGAGATTTATTCGAATTCGTACATAGTATATTGAGACAGTGGGTGGGAGTTGCGGCTTTATGTCTGTTTGTGATTTTATTACTAACGTACGCCCGATTAGGTGAGTTATACTCTATAGGGATGTAATAAAGGGACTTACTTTTATGTTCGTTCGCTACCTAAACAAGTTTTAAACGTTTTTTTCCGTTCTTCATACCTAAATTATCCGTGAGTGTGTCGTAAATGATGAAGACAATAATCAGTTCGTTTTGAATCAATCAAAATATACGAGCTAATTGGTAGGAGAAGTTGTCAAGTAGAAGGAAGTTCAGGTATAAGTAAAATACTATACAGTTGCCATGCAACGGACATCACAGTATAATGAAGTATGATATTTTTTAAATGTGGCTAGTATTCTATAGATATATAAAGTGTACTCTAACATTGGTTTACCATTAGTTTGAAGCTGGAAACGCCAGTTATCACTGTTAAAATTTGAGACATGGCCAATAAATTTGAAGTATAAAAATAAATTTAATAAAAGTGGAGTGGATAGTAAAGTGAAAACGACACGATTCACTTTACTATTCACTCCAGTTTCATTAAATTATAACACAAATGCTAAATTAACAATTAAGATGTTTATCGAACTAATTTGACCATAATGTATATGATATTTAGATAAATGGGCAGGCTCATTCGGGCAAGTGCAAAGGCCTAACAGAAGACGGGCGCGAAGTGGAAGAATTAAACATACGCCTTACATTAATTGTGGTGAGTGTCATTTGCAGTGTTGTAGATATATATGTCTATGGGTGACTGTAGTCGCTTAACGTCAAGGGAACCGCCTGTTCGTTTGTCATCTTTTCACGTAAAGCAGTTTTACCGATTTGGAGGTAATTCAAAATTTATTGTTCTAGAAAGAATTTTTAAAAATCTTAAAGGCTAGGTAATGAAAATAGATAATTTTCAAAGTACAGCTAAAACCAAAATAGTATACCAAAGTATAAAAAAGAATATATAAAATGGCACTTGAAAAAAAATATGCTCCTTTACGAAGCTTAAGTGGCTTTTGTTAAAACAAAATAAACATACAGTAACTAACGACGGCACACGGATTGTAACAACGTGTAAAAAGGTATCCAGTACACAGCATTAAACCCGAAACAATCGATCAATATGTAATTGAAGCGTTGTAACGATGCTCTTTGTTTCTGTATCTTATAGGTAGTCGTAAGAATTGCGGCTAGCGGCGGCGCGGTCCATAAATAATTGTCGGATATCGGCTTCCTCCGGCCCCTGGGAAACCGCTTGATAGATGCGTTTAGGGTCAGGAATATCGATGTTCCCCAATCGGCGATCGCGTCCGAATACAACGTCGGCGAGGTGCCGCGTAAAAAATATCGTGTAAGCAGATGAAAAAAAAACCGTCTTCTTTTTGCTTTGCATCTACGATTTCGAGAGCCCGCTAGTTACTCTAAAACACATTTCGTTTTTGTTATTCCATTTATTTAATATGGCAAGATGTTAATTTAATTTACAGCTTATATTTGAGGGCGAAAGTTAAAAGCATAACAAAATAATACATTGCAGTAATCGACCTGTTGGTGGAATTTGGTTGTTCTGACTTGATCATACATTTCAACGAAATGAAGTAGTTGAACTGGTTGATAAAATTATTTTTCGGATCAAAGTTTTGCAAGTATTTAATGCAGTGTTACACATTTCATTGAGCATTCTCAGATAAGGGAAAATGCAACATCTGTCGTCATCCAGTAGCAATTGCGGTGCAAACTAATTAAGTTTGAAAATTAGTTGCATAACGCAGCTCACTTGACAGCGAAAAGATAAAGTATCGACTTACATCTTCCAGAGATATGAATGGCAACGGACACACGATATGGATTTCAAAAACGAATTTCAGTCGAACACTACTAACAGAGTTTACTTAATAATACGTTTTTAATTTTGCCAAGAAATTGCAGTTGTTCGGCGAAAGAAAAAAAAAGCAGTAGCCAGTTTGCAATAAAAAAACAAGAGTGCATTTGAAGACTCGTTCCTTTTTCGAATCGGAAGAGAACTTATTTGATGTGCAATTTGAGA